ACAGTTACCAGGCGCAGCCACGAGATAGGGCCCCAGAGTTTGTGTTATCGCTTCCAGGGCATTTTGGTCATTTACGACCCACAGGCACTAGGTGTCAGTTTAAAACGGGATTCGGCCCGGATTTCAAAGTGGAATTTGGGTCGGGTCGTTTCACATTCTTAGCACTAAAACTATATTTAATCATATACTCATTTGTGAGAGCTTTTCACCTCTCATTTGTGAGAGTTTTATTTGTATTGTTATGACTTGGTTTTTTCAAGCTTTGTCTATTTTTGATTATTCTGAGTTTGCAATCTTAGTTGGGATGCCTATGCTAGAGTTTATTCGATTCTGCGTGATCGTTAGTGGAGGCGCACCAGATTGTCTTAATTTTGTTGTTCGACCGCTCCGTTATTATAATCGCCATTGTGGCTAGTTTGTTTTGGCCCCTTGTGGCTAATGGCTTTTTAGGATGAATTATGAATGCAATCCTAGAATTTCTCAAAAAAAATAAACTAACCAAAAAAAAAAAACCAAAACATGACAGCTAGCCCTATTGAATTTAATTTTGATTATTAAATTACTTTGATGCCTTATTAAGTGTTTTGAAATTTTTTATGAGGTTTTGGGGTCGGGTTTGTTTTAATAAATCAATGACAGTTTTGTAATTCAAAAGAAGTTAAAAGCCCTGTTGTTATGTTATAAATGGGTTTTGGGTGTGTTTCTAAAGTCCATTTTATATAGGGGTTTTTTAAAAAAATTTGGGCTCCTATATTGGGTATAATAGTGAATCTCCCTTGTTAATAATGATAAAATAAAATAAAAGATTAAATGTTCCTTTTATAAAAGAATTAGGAGTCTATCTGTTCAACCATTAGACTTAAAAATATGATTGCTGGTTCTGAAAAAAATAAAAATAAATAATTATACAATTTACAAATGCTTTGCAGACAAGGCATTCATCAGCTGAAGAATCCGGAATAATGGAAGACTTGGACATCACTGTTGATGTCGTAAGTGTTAAGTTTCTTTTATTATTTGTATTTATTTTATATAAATTTAGTTATATACCCAATTTTAGACATAGTCTTATAAAGAAACCCTATACCATTTAAAAACTATAAACACACCTAAAAAAAAATCCAAAAATCGATAATTGTCAATTTTTTTTTAAAATTTAATAGCTATGTTTTAGTTTATTTGTGTGTGTAAAATACCTATATTGCCCTTGTACTATGGATTTGAGAGAGAAAAATCAAATCTGCCCAGATTTGTTCAGATTTTCCTCAAAAACCATATCTGCCAAAAAAACCAAATTAGCCAAAAAACCCAAATCAGATTTATTTTCTCCTTTCTCGATGTTGGAGCAAGATGAGCTTCCATTGAAGCTCAATCTCAGGTCCAACTATATTCTTCATATCTCATTTACAATTTTCAATATTTCACCTTCAATTTCTTGTTCTAAAATCGTGCTTGTACTGATTTTTTTTTTTTTTTCCGAATTGTTTGGAACCTTGAATGAACCTCAATCAGATGCTCTTAGCTCTACTCCTATTTCACCATGTCGTTGTCATCATCATCGTCATCGTTATTGTCGTCGTCATCATCATTTGGTTTAGACTTGAGATTTTTGATCTTTTACTTCAATTATGTGTTTCTCTTCATATTTTAGTTGATTTTCGAAATGTATTTTAAGCTTTGATGATCGATTTATCCTTTATTACTATTTCAATTATGGATCTCATTTTTGTTTAACAATGTACTTCTATGACATAGTATTAACAATGTACTTTTATGACATAATAGTATTAACAATTTGGGCTCGGCTTGTTTTGAGTTGGTCTGGTTTGTTCTTTCTTCTTTTCTTTGGTGGACATGTATTAGAAATAGCAACAAGATAAGCATTAATCAACATAACAGTAAACTAGCAGTGTTATTACCTTATACTAGAACATTACATGGGTAGATATGCATTAGAAATAGGATGTCATAGGAAATTAGCAGTGTTATTACCCTAGACTGGAACATTACAGGGGTAGACATGCATTAGAAATAGGATGTCATAGGAAACTAGTAGTGTTATTACCCTAGAAATAAGATGTCATAAGAAACTAGTAGTGTTGTTACCCTAGACTGGAACATTACACGGGGTAGACATGCATTAGAAATAGGATGTCATATGAAACTAGTAGCGTTATTACCATAGACTGGAACATTACAACCATTAATCAACATGACAGTAAACTAGCAGTGTTATTACCATAGACTGGAACATTATAGCCATTAATCAACATGACAGTAAACTAGCAATGTTATTACCCTAGACTGGAACATTACAAAATAGCAGTATTATTAACCTATACTGAAACATTACATGGATAGACATGCATTAGAAATAGGATGTCATAGGAAACTAGCAATGTTATTACCTTAAACTGGAACATTACAGGGGTAAAGATGAATTAAAAATAGGATATCATAGGAAACTAGTAGTGTTATTACCCTAGACTGGAACATTACATGGGTAGATATGCATTAGAAATAAAATGTCATAAGAAACTAACAGAGTTATTACCCTAAATTAGAACATTACAGCCATTAATCAACATGAGAGTAAACTGGCAGTGTTATTACCCTAGACTGAAACATTACAGCCATTGATTAACATGACAATAAAGGTGTGGAACATTACAATTATTAATCAACATGACATGTTAATGAAGCTACCGTTTTCAAGATATTTTATTTGTAATGAATTGTTTGGGTCTTTTTATAAAATTGGGCTGGGCTTGTTTTGGGTGCTATTTAAGTTTTTTGTGTTTGGCTTCTTTTAAGTTGATCAATGGCAGTCACGTAATTTATAGAAATTTCAACACTAATTTCTTATGTAGTAAATGAGTTTTGGGTGTGTTTCTAAAGTGCATTCCATGTGGGGTTTTTTTATTTATTAATTTTAGCCCTTATTTTGGGTATATTAGTGAAAGCTCCCTTTATTTTAAGGGTATCATCCCAAATTAACTTTCATTTCTTTTGCATATGTGTTCACTAGCGCAAGCATCTTCTTTTTAAAAACAAATTGCCATTATGAACTTTACAAATATGGATATTCTCTTCTTTCTTAGATTTTAATATCCAAATTTTCAGTTTCTGCACTTGATAAACTCCTTCTCATTAAGCAGTACTCAGTTTTTGGTTCAATATTGGCAAAGAGTGTAGTTTTTTTTTTTTGGAGAGAAATGCAAAGAGTGCTTTTGTTTTTGTTGAGAGAAATGCAAAGAGTGTTGTGTTTTAATTTTCTAGTTGTATGATTACCAAAGATTGAGGGAAATAATAAGGCTTTGAAAATAGGATCCCCACCATGTATATTATAATTTTCTAGTTGTATGATTAGCAAAGAACATTTACATTTTTCAAGTTTTGCAAGCAACTTTACATTTTTACATCAAAACAACGACGATTTTACTAAAAATCGTCGTCTTTACATATAAACAATGACAGTGAAAAGTCATTGTAGTTTGATACTCCAAAAGATGGTGGTCGATTTAACGACAGTTTTCAAAGCATCACAATGACGGTGAATCCCCGTCGTCTATTTCGGCATGTGCAATACTTGAGTGAATTGACATCTCCTCCGCTGCTGTGGGTTGAGAATTAGATTTATCCTTACTACTAGCCCACAATATGGCGTATAGTCCAACCACAATAAGCAGCCCTCCTAGTATGCTGACATAAGAGGAAGATGAATTAACGAAAGCCCAGAAAAAGTAGAGTAATTATAAACCAAGTCTCCAAGGCAACAAACTAATTAAGTAACAAAGACAAGAAATTAAGAAAATAATAGACAAGTCATACCTTCCCATATGTAACTTCTCATCAAGGAGGGAAGAGCCTGCAAGTGCAACCATCACAAGCAGCACAGGCTGAAAAACCGAAGCAAAGAATTGCCCTTCCTTCTTTACACCCCATGTCATTAGGATCAGAGCAAGTCCTGAGATCAAGATTCCCTAAACAAAATTCAAAGAGGAATATAGAAACTCAGATCTGGTTCCAACTAAAATTCAGGTATTTTTGAAAAATTGTACAACACTTTTAATTAATAGTGACATTATTATATTCAAAGAAAACTTTTCAACAATAATAAAATATATATATATATATATATATATTATCTACCCAATATGAAGCCATAAGTACCAACTTCCATTGCTTCCAGTCCCTCTCCACGCAGAAGGCAAAAATTACAGATTGAATTGATGCCATCAGGGACGTTAGAGCTGTGCTTGAGTAAGGATAGGGGAAATTCTTTATCTGATTTTCCTGCATTGATAAAATAAGGTACATAAATAACAAGAATAATACGAAAACAAAGGAAATAAAGAAACCTAACCTGAACTAAAAACCATAATGCGTACGAGACGCAACCACCCAATGATAACATGCACCCCCACAAAAGACCTTGAGGACTTTTGTGTGATGCCGCGTGTGGCTCCCCATGAGTATGGAGAAGATCAACATGCGTTGACCACATGTTGATCTCTTTGCCTCTGTAGAGGTTGAACACCATAGCTCCTCCTATGCCTATAACTATTCCAATAATTTTAACTTTACCGGTAGTAGTTTGTAGGGACAATTTCTCTAACCTGAAATATAAAATTAAATTAAGCACAGTTCTTGCACAATGCAAATTAATTATACAGATCATATATAAAAAGAGCTTTGCTAGGATATTACCTGAAAATTACCGCTAGGATAAAGGTGATGACCGGCACCAGATTTAACATAGCAACTGTATATGTTGGTGATGTTAAAGACAGGCTCTCAATGTATAAGTTTGTTGACAACGAACCCCTGAAATAAATAATTGGTGCTTAATTATTGGAGATGTTGTAAATTTGGCTCACATGAAGAAAAGTCCATGTAACTCCTATATTCTAGACATAAACCTACCATATTTTGACCTAATTTACCTAGTTTACCTAGATTTTATAAATAATTATTTAACTATAGCACGAAAACTTGAAAATTATTTACCTATATATGCATTATTATCCGTAATAAATAGATAAATAATTATTCATAAAAGATAATATGTATATTATTATCCATAAAAATAATAGATAATTTAGAAAATAAATAGGTGTATTATCACGAAATAGGTACATTATTATTCAAAAAAAAAACAATCAAGTAACCAATAAATCGAATGTTAAAATAAAGATTAGTTGTGTTAAACTATTAGGAGATAAACACATAAGAAGCATAGGTGAGTATAAAAAGTTACAAACAAGACTTTTTTCTATTTTAATGGGGAAAAAAAAAACTTACATATCCCAAAATTTATGTCCATTACCATTTGAACGACAAATTTTTTTTAAGGTGAAAATGATGATTTTTCATTAGACTCATCTAAATTCCTACGAAAGACGCTATATATTACCAATAAAAGAGCCAGCTTCAGCCCTAGCCTACCATATCACATGAAAATTGAACTGCCAGTTTAAGTTCTTTATATATGCTACTTTAAAACCCGGTTACGCCTCTACAACAAACTTAAGTCATACATATATGCATTATATCTGTGATGGGTTGCACTTGCACGTGAAGAGGGGGAAAACCTAAATTTTCTATGATATTGTAATAAGAAGATGGAAAATTAGTTACCCAAATAGGCCGCAGAAAAAGCCTTTCAAGAGTACCATCCATGTTAGCTTGGTTATACAGTCCCTGCAAATTGAAAATAATTATGACCAGCCAATTATACTAAAGCACATCCATGCTATAATAGATCAGCCAATTGTTTAAGACTGGAAGTTAAAAATAAATAAAAAAAGAGGCAGGACCTTTCAAATAACATCGATAGTGCGAGCATGACGGCCGCACCGAAACTCATCCGGTAAGCGACGAGCACTGTCAGGTTTACCCCATGTCCAGCAGCCATCTTGTAGAGAACGTTCATTACTGTGAATAAGAGTTGTACAAAAATCAATACTAGTATTGATTTTATTGATTTCATTGGAGATACAGGGAGAAGACAGAGGGTGGAGAATGGAGGGTGGATTAATAGGAATAAGCAACAGGGAACTACAAGACAAGTAAAGAGTTCAAATTACTAAGCATGGGGTATCGAACAGAGAGAATGGGAAAGATTCATAAAGATGCAGTACTCAGTTTTAGAGAAAGGGCTTTATATATATACACCTTACAAACTACTAATATACTACCTAATTTCACTACAACTCAAGTACTTGGAATAATTCAATACTACTAATATACCAGCTACTAAAAAATAGCTACAAATATATTACTCAAAAAGTTACAAACATGACCTTTTTCTATTTTAATTCCTAAATTTATGCCAATTACCATTTGAAATTAAAAAAATTAAATGAAACGGATATGACAAGCCCATGCAAGAAAAGCAACTAACAAACCCATACCATACAACAATTGCCAACAATTTTTTTTGAAAAGAAAGAGACACATATCATTACCATGGATGACTAGTAAATCTTTGTGTGGTTCAGCTAGAAAATTATTCAACTAGAAAATTATTTCCCTCAATCTTTTCAAAGCCTGATTATTTCCCTCAATCCTTCCTAATCATACAACTAGAAAATTAAAGAACAACACTCTTTGCATTTCTCTCCCTAAAAAATAAAATACACTCTTTGCCAATGTTAACCAAAAACTGACAATATTGAACCAAACACTCTTTGCCAATATTTAACCAAACCAATAACAAGCAAAGAGGAGCAGATAAGCCCATGCTAAACTCACTGATCATACCATGCAAGAAAAGCAACCAACAAACCCATACAACAATTGCCAACAATTTTTTTTTAAAGAAAGAGACACGTATCCTTACCATGGATGACCAGTAAATCTTTGTGTGCCTCAGCTAGAAAATTATACAAGTAGAAAATTATTTCCCTCAATGTTTTCAAAGCTTGATTATTTCCCTCAATCTTTCCTAATCATACAGCTAGAAAATTAAAGAACAACACTCTTTGCATTTCTCTCCAAAAAAAATAAAAACACTCTTTGCATTTCTCTCCCTAAAAAAGAAACAACACTCTTTGCCAATATTGAACCAAAAACCGAGTACTGCATAATGAGAAGAGAGTATATCAAATACAGAAACTGAAAATTGGGATACTAAAATCTAAGAAAGAAGAGAATATCCATATTTGTAAAGTCCATAATGGAATTTTTTTTTTAAAAAAAAAGAAGATGCTTGCGCTTGTGACACATGCACAAGAAATGAAAGTTAATTTGGCATGATACTGTAAGAAGGTTTATTACATTAAACCTACTAAAGTGATCTTCTAATCAACTTAGGATTACAAAGACTTATTGTTTATTAGAAACTCAAAACCTATCTCGATTAGGCAAGCCTCAAACAGTGTTCAATAAGGATAATGAAGGCTTAAGGGTTCCTAGTTCTACAAGGATTGAAATGGATTAATCCTATAGCATGAAGGATATCTCTAAGTGTTTCTTGATGGGCAAGACACTTAGAGAGATGCATATAAATAGAAGGCTCCCTCCTAGATCCGAATAACACAACACAGCTAAACAGAAATTCACCCATCAGAGTTATAGCTATAAGGATCGGATTCTCAGGAGAAGAACTTCTATTCCTTGCACTGCCAATCTGTTCCAGCATCATCCAATCTGCGCCAGCACCATGTCAGACTCAGGTTAGTGTTAAACATGTTATGGCTTTAAAGGAATTAACATGTGGTATCAGAGCTTAAGTTATATCATGTTATACCTAACAAA